TTTCTTTTTTTTTAATATATTTTTTTATTGATTAAGATATTACATATGTGTCCTTATACCCACATTACCCCCTAACCCCCCTCCCCGCTCATGCCCTCACCCCCCCGTTGTCCGTGTCCATTGGTTAGACCTATATGCTTGCATGTAAGTCCTTTGGTTGATCTTTCCCCCTTAACCCTGCCCTCCCCTACCTTCCCTCCAAGGCCCGACAGTCCAATCAATGCCTCTCCATCTCTGGATCAGTCCTTGTTCATCAGTTTATGATGTTCATTATATTCCACAAATGAGTGAGATCATGTGGTATTTATCCTTCTCTGACTGGCTTATTTCACTTAGCATAATGCTCTCTAGTTCCATCCATGGTGTGGCAAATGGTAAGAGTTCCTTTTTCTTCTTCCTCTTCTTAAAGAATACCTTTCAGCATTTCATATAATGCTGGTTTGGTGGTGATGAACTCCTTTAGCTTTTTCTTATCTGTGAAGCTCTTTATCTGACCTTCAATTCTGAATGATAGCTTTGCTGGATAAAGTAATCTTGGTTGTAGGTTCTTGCTATTCATCACTTTGAATATTTCTTGCCACTCTCTTCTGGCCTGCATGGTTTCTGTTGAGAAATCAGCTGACAGTCGTATGGGTACTCCCTTATAGGTAACTGACTTTTTTTCTCTTGCTGCTTTTAAGATTCTCTCTTTGTCTTTTGCTCTTGGCATTTTAATTATGATGTGTCTTGGTGTGGTCCTCTTTGGATTCCTTTTGTTTGGGGTTCTCTGCGCTTCCTGGACTTGGAAGTCTATTTCTTTCACCAGGTAGGGGAAGTTTTCTGTCATTATTTCTTCAAATAGGTTTTCAATATCTTGCCCTCTCTCTTCTTCTGGTACCCCTATAATTCTGATGTTGGTACGCTTGAAGTTGTCCCAGAGGCTCCTTACACTATCTTCGTATTTTTGGATTCTTTTTTCATTTTGCTTTTCCGGTTGGGTGTTTTTTGCTTCTTCGTATTTCAAATCTTTGACTTGATTCTTGCGATCCTCTGGTCTGCTGTTGGGAGTCTGTATAATATTCTTTATTTCAGTCCGTGTATGCTTAATTTCTAGTTGGTCCTTTATCACAACATCGAGGGTCTCACTAGATTTCTTAAGGATCTCAATACATTTATCGGCGGTTTCCATAAAATTCTTGAAAAATCTTAGAACCGTGGTTTTGAACTCTATATCCAGTCGTTTGCTGTCCTCCATTTCTGTCATTTGTGACCTGTTTCTTTGTCTTCGCATTTTGTCTGCTTCCCTGTGTTGGTAGAGTGGTTTTGTGTGCTAGGTGTCCTACAGGGCCCAGTGGCTCAGCCTCCCCAATTACCTGAGGTGGACACTCTTGGTGCACCCCCTTGTGGGCTTTGTGCACAGTCTTGTTGTAGTTAAGCCTTGATTGTTGTAGGTATCACTGGGAGGAATTGACCTCCAGGCCAATTGGCAGTGAGAATCAGCTGTGTCTGCAGTGGGAGAACTTCTGTGCTGAAGACACCCTTCTGGGGCAAGACTTGCTTCAGTGGGGCTTTGGTGCTCACTCCAGGTTCTGTGTCGAAAAGAATGTTTTTAACTCCATTTTACCATCTACATATGTTTGTGTAGGATAATATCTTATTTAGCCCATATCCCTGCAAAAGCAGTGTTCTACTTAAGTACATTTTCCAGATTAATGAAGCTTAACTCTTTACTATGTATTATATGTATATACTGTGGATAAACACATACATTCATGTTGATCTTCACCTTTCATCCTGGAAGAATGCCATTTCACAGCCAGTAAAACTTAAGTTTAGATCACATTGGTAGCTTTCTCTATAAATAGTACATTGTATCTCAAAATCTTTGTCTCTAGTTTTTAGCCCTTGAGTATATTTCTCCCAAATTAGCTTCACTTAAGCAAGTATTCTTTCCACTTCGCCTCATTTTTAACACCAGGACCTGTTTTTCTTTTATTACCCAATATCCTACCATCTCTACAGTTGCCTAAATTGGGTCTTCAAGGAGAAAAATGTTAAATTCTTATTATTTTTTGAGGCATTCTTCTTTTGTGCTATATAGGAAAACCAACTTTGTATGGCAGCCTAACTTGTCAAGGAATTGGCCTCGATGGTATCCCAGAGATTACAGCTTCGGAAGGATTTATTGTGAATGAAATAAGCAAGGTAGGTTTTTATGTCTTCTAGATGGCACCATGTTCATATATACGGTAGTACCTATACATCTACTTTAAATATTTATACTGTTATCCGTGTATCAGTGTCATCCCCATGTCATTTGTACAACAATCACAGTTTTTACTGCCTTTGAATGTCAAAGTGTTTTTTTGTAGTTACATATACATTTTGATGTAGTCAAACTTCCTCTTCCCTTGTATCAGTGCTTTCCTATAGATAAATAATGTGAGCCACATATATAATTTTAAATTTTCTAGTAGCCCAAAAGAAACAAGTGAAATTAATTTTAATAATATATTTTATTTAACTTTCATCTATCGTGCATATTGCAAATATTTCCAGAAGTTCAGTATCCTCAAATTTTTTAAATTTTTATTTATTTATTTTAGAGAGAGAGAGGAAGGGAAAGAGAGAAACATCGATTTGTTGTTCCACTTATTTATGCATGTATTGGTTGCTCCTTGTATGTGCCCTAACTGGGGATCAAACCCGCAAACTTGGCATATTGGGATGATGCTCTAACCAACTGAGTTATCCGACCAGGGCCAATATTCTTAATTTATATTCCATAAAGATTCCCTTTGGGTTGTGGCTGAAAAAAATATATGTATGTATGAATATGTTCTGGTTTTTTGTGTGTTTTTTGTTTTGTTTTTGGTTTTATTTAGCCCAATATATCTAAAACATTATTTCTATCTGTAATTAATGAAATTATTTTTTTAAAATATATTTTTGTTGATTTCAGAGAGGAAGGTAGAGGGAGAGAGAGATAGAAACATCAATGATGACATAGAATCATTGATCAGCTGCCTCCTGCAACTGGTTCATAGGTCGACAGTCAACCATTGAGCCATACCAGGTAGGCATAGACTCTAATTTTTTTATTGGAAATACTTGATGATGTGTTTAGGTTTTAAAGATTTACAGTTGAAAACATAGATTCACATACTTAAAAAGTTTTCTGATAACTGAATCAACTATTAATTTTTAAATTAAACTTTAAATAAAAATTAAAAATTCAGTTCCTCATATGTATTGGCCACATTTTAAGTGTTTAATAACCTTATATGGCTAGTATCTACCTTATTGTATGGCAGAGCAATATAATATGTCTGACTAGGCCTTGGTGAAGACCTAGGCCTTCACAAGTACTTAATAGTTTTTCTCATTGGTCTTTGAGAACCCATGATCTGACTTTCTTTACTCATTCTGTTGGCTGCAGTCAGTATGCTCTGGTGAGATGGGTAAACTTTTTTCTTTTTATTTTATGTAATTAAACTTTTTTAGTTGTAAAACATTTCTGGTATTCTGACAAGAATAGAAAACCATTGGTTTTTTTTACATAAGATGTTTAGCAAATGTTCATTCATTACCCTCTGCAAGGTGATAGGCTACATGTTATTATATATCTTATACTTTTTTATAGACACCTATGGAATTGTAGAAAGTGTCAAAAGATGAGTCCAACTCATAGTTAACTCTGACACTTACTAGCAATATGATTTTGGACAAGCTCATAGACAAACAACAGTAAGGTGATTACCAGAGGTATGTAGAACAGGGTAAAGGGGCATAAATGAGCCCTGAGACGATGGTGTTGGTATCCTGCTGCTTAGAGGAAGGAATTGTCTTATCAAATCCTTGAGGAAGGTTTTCCCAAGCCTTTTATACCTCTACACATACTACTTTGAAATACCAACATACTTACTTGAAATGGTTACAAAGGCTGCCTTTGGCAAATCATGTCACCTGAATCTAACATCTGGTTCGAGGTATAATTTCTTACTCTGTCTCTAGTGTTATCTTTCTAGAGTAGCTGAAAGATATGTGATAATGACCAGGCAAAACATGGGGAGTCATAATACTGCTATGGATGTGATGATGACCAGTCTATAAACATGTACAGCCAGTGTATGTCCTACATGGGAATGGGCACTGCAAGCCTGACCAGGCCCTACACATTGGAAGAGTGTACCACGATTTACTTGACCAGTTTTCTCTGGTGACTGTAGATGGTAGAAGATAAAAAGTTTGACTTTGAATTTTACCTTAGTGTGGAATACTCACACTCCCCCCTCCAATCCCCTCACCCCTAAATTCTGTATGTTTTGATACCTCCTGCAGCTTTTCTTTAAAATATTTTCATTAACAGCATGACTCTCTACTGCTGACATTGGAAGGTAGTTCAACATTTATCTTCCTTCATAGTATGTTTATAGGTTAAAGGTTGATTTGCAGGATTGATAAGCAGGAGAAAACCACTGATTCTTGAATTCTTTCACGTAATTAGCTCAAGGAAATGAACTCTTCTGAGAACAAACCAATACTTACAGAGGCCTGAACACTAAGCTCTCAGAGCCCCTGCATCCTTGCTTGGTGTGAATATTTATTGAGGAGAGTTTAGCTGACGCTTTAGTTTTGGGTACAGGAGACAATTCCAAATCCAGGTCAGCGCTCTGGCAGTGTGTGGGCTTTGTCACGCGGTTAGGAGCAAAAACTCATTTAATGAAAGGCCTGCAGGCAGCCAGGCATAGATATGCTGGCTAAGGAAGTACTGTTTGTATAGATATTCTAATTGTGTTTTTAAAGGCGTAGAAGACTTTTAATAAGAGCGTATTGATTTTCAATGATAACAACATTATGACTTTGAAACTGTTCTTTAAACTGTTCTTTCTAATGAACTGTGAGGACTGTGCTTGTTGTACATAGATTAGCCTTATAAAGAAGTTCTGAAAATCTTGATTATTGAAGACATTTTCATTGTCCAGCAAAATTTTCAGAAACTTTGAAGTACTTCTATGGAAGAGATAATAGGTTTGGGGCCATTTGGAGAGTGCAACTCCTCAGCTGTGTATAGGAGCTATGTTGTGTTTTTAAAGGCGTAGAAGACTTTTAATAAGAGCATATTGATTTTCAATGATAACAATATTGACTTTGAAACTTCTTTCTAATGAACTGTGAGGACTGTGCTTGTTGTACATAGATTAGCCTTATAAAGAAGTTCTGAGAATCTTGATTATTGAAGACATTTTCATTGTCCAGCAAAATTTTCAGAAACTTTGAAGTACTTCTATGGAAGAGATAATAGGTTTGGGGCCATTTGGAGAGTGCAACTCCTCAGCTGTGTATAGGAGCTATGCCCTGAGACGATGGTGTTGGTATCCTGCTGCTTAGAGTAAGGAATTGTCTTATCAAATCCTTGAGGAAGGTTTTTTAAGCCTTTTATACCTCTACACATACTACCTTGAAATACCAACATACTTACTTGTAATGGTTACAAAGGCTGCCTTTGGCAAATCATGTCACCTGAATCTAACATCTGGTTCGAGGTATAATTTCTTACTCTGTCTCTAGTGTTATCTTTCTAGAGTAGCTGAAAGATATGTGATAATGACCAGGCAAAACATGGGGAGTCATAATACTGCTATGGATGTGATGATGACCAGTCTATAAACATGTACAGCCAGTGTAAGTCCTACGTGGGAATGGGCACTGCAAGCCTGACCAGGCCCTACACATTGGAAGAGTGTACCACGGTTTACTTGACCAGTTTTCTCTGGTGACTGTAGATGGTAGTAGTCTACATTTTTTCCTAAACGTTCTTACAGGCAGCAGGTTTACTTTTAGACTAGTCCTTTAGTCTAGGTTTCAGGCCTAATGCTGTTTCCTCACATCTCTTGATCCTGTTCCTTGCCCCACTGCTAATTAAGAGTGCTGGTATTAAATTTTCTTCTAAAAAGTAATGTTCTCATGTTTGTCAGCTGTATTTTATTGTTGATTTGTCTTAACATAAAAAGATAATGGCATCTCAGTGATACCAATTACATTGCAGCCCCTGCAGTGAAAGGACTACTACTCTATTAGGGAGTGATAGTTTTGTGGGCTGGGGAAGGAGGATTAGAGAGGACACACTTAAAAGGTGAGAATTTCCTGTTGTCCTTATGTTTTCTTTACGAGGCTTTAATTTCATTGGAGTAGCTTTACTGATGTATTTCATCTTTCCCTCTCTGTTTAGAAAAGCATTCATATTTCATGTCCAAAGGAAAATGCATCTTCGAAGTTTTTGACACCATACACTACTTTTTCCAGAATTCATGCAAAGAGTGTAAGTATTTTGATAAAATGAGGAGAAATGTAATATCATTAATTAATTTTTCTTTTTATCTTTTTGTTTACAGTGCTATAAACACTCATAATTAATGTGGTTCACTTCTTTGATTATAAGGTAACAGCTGATGAAGTATGATAATGTTAGACAAAACTGGTACTTGGGACCACATAGAATATATGTACAAATCCACTCTGATAATCTTAGAGAAAGGAATTTTGAAATGAAATTTTCTTATACATGTTTTAGCAGAGCTACTTACTGGGTTTTGGATAATGGTGGTTGTAACTGATGTTTGCATAATTTGCCACTGCTCATATTTTTGTCCCTTTGATTACAGGACAGAGACATTTTCTCAAAATTCTGACTATAATTTATTGAGGAATAATTTTCAAATATCTTTGTGATAAAGCCCTTTCTACTACCATGGGCTTTTGAAAGCAGAAGTGAGAAATATGTAGATAAACTGGTTATATTAAAGCCTTCCACTTCTTATTGTGTTATAGCTACTGGGGATATGCCCGCAACCAAGGTACATGCCCTTGACCGGAATCGAACCTGGGACCCTTCAGTCCGCAGGCCGACGCTCTATCCACTGAGCCAAACCGGTTTCGGCTAATATCTTTGTGATAAAGTCCTTTCTACTACCATGGGCTTTTGAAAGCAGAAGTGAGAAATATGTAGATAAACTGGTTATATTAAAGCCTTCCACTTCTTATTGTGTTATAGGTAGATTTTTAAAATAGCTATTTTTTCCCCTTATTGCAAAAACAAATATATATTTAGGGATGAAAATTTAAGAACTAGAAAACAAAGTGAATCACTCATTTTTTCTATACCCTAAAAATAACCACTGTGAACTTTTGTTGCTTAGCCTTTATTAAGAAAAATCATGATAGTAATAGCTAACATTTATTGTTTACTATGTGCCAGCATCATGCTAAGCTTTATCATTATTTTACTTGTTCCGCTCAATCTTTTTTCTTTAAATATTTCACCAAAATAGGTTTTACAGTGCCTGCTATTTTATAACTTGCTTTTTATTCTTTAATAATATATTATGCCGAAACCGGTTTGGCTCAGTGGATAGAGCATCGGCCTGCGGATTGAAGGGTCCCAGGTTCGATTCCGGTCAAGGGCATGTACCTTAAGAACTAGAAAACAAAGTGAATCACTCATTTTTTCTATACCCTAAAAATAACCACTGTGAACTTTTGTTGCTTAGCCTTTATTAAGAAAAATCGTGATAGTAATAGCTAACATTTATTTTACTATGTGCCAGCATCATGCTAAGCTTTATCATTATTTTACTTGTTCCTCTCAATCTTTTTTCTTTAAATATTTCACCAAAATAGATTTTACAGTACCTACTATTTTATAATTTGCTTTTTATTCTTTAATAATATATTATGTACATCATCCTATGCCATTTTTCTTTCTTTTTTAAAATATATTTTTATTGATTTCTGAGAGAAAGGAGAAGGAGAAGGGAGGAGAGATAGAAACATCAATGATGAGAGAAAATCAGTGATCAGCTGCCTCCTGCACACCCCCCACTGGGGATCGAGCCCGCAACCCAGGCATGTACCCTTGACCAAAATCGAACCCAGGACCCTTCAGTCCATGGGCCGACGCTCTATCCACTGAGCCAAATTGGCTAGGGCCTATGCCATCTTTCTATGTATTCTTTTAAGAGCTGCATAGTATTCCATTGTCTGATTTTAATATAATCTGTTTTTCCAATCTTACATTACCGGACATTCAGATATTTTGAGTTCATCCATTCCTATTTTGATGATATAGCTAACCCCTTTTTCACAAAGATAGGAAGAAATTAGTTTACCTTGTAAAAGTGGAGTTGCTGAGTCACAGGGAATGCAAATTATAAGGCTTTTGGTATGTTCTGACTGACCTCAGTTTAACTGATCTACTCATTCAACCTTTGCTCTACATTTACTCTGTAAAACATACTGACTGTGTGCACAGCATATTCTTAGTTTATAAGCTCTTTGAGGTCTGCCTACTCTGACACTACTGGGTAAGTTGAGTGCTTACCAAAGGTCAGTTGCACTGCCAGTTATATTGTTTTTGAAATTACGTTAAGACATTCAGATATTTTGAGTTCATCCATTCCTATTTTGATGATATAGCTAACCCCTTTTTCACAAAGATAGGAAGAAATTAGTTTACCTTGTAAAAGTGGAGTTGCTGAGTCACAGGGAATGCAAATTATAAGGCTTTTGGTATGTTCTGACTGATCTCAGTTTAACTGACCTACTCATTCAACCTTTGCTCTACATGCACTCTGTAAAACATACTGACTTGTGGGCACAGCATATTCTTAGTTTATAAGCTCTTTGAGGTCTGCCTACTCTGACACTACAGAGTAAGTTGAGTGTTTACCAAAGGTCAGTTGCACTGCCAGTTATATTGTTTTTGAAATTATGTTAATTAAATATGTTAAACTGATGACATATGAGTGTGAAAAGGCAGAGAATGGTTATGTCTGAAAACTAAATTGATTGCTTTGTAAAGACTTGGTAAAGAAGCGTTTTATTTGTTTTGTTTTTAACTGCTATTATAGTATGTGTGAGCAAGGTAAATGCAAAATGTTAGGGAAAAGATTTTTTTTTAAACACTAGTTGAATTTTTGTTCATAGATTGCTTTGTAAGAGTGAACAAAGATTTACCTTACTTCAGAGAAACTGGAAACTAAATTATGCCTTGGATTATAGTTTATTAAAAGAAAGTCAAGTTTAATACTGTCAATAAAAAATAAACTTAAAAGTAAATAAATAAAAAAATAAAAGAAAGTCAAGGTGAAGCTTCCTTGTAATCAATGGACTAATGAAAAGATTAGTGAATTTTAATGTACATTTATATATTTGAGTTCAAATAAAATGTAGGTATTTATGCATCAATTTTCATTATTTTCCCTACTTTAACTGAAATTTTTTATTAACTGACCTATCACTGGGCTCTATCCATTGACTAAAAAGGCTCTTACTCTATTGCTTTTATATCAGTCTGACTTAACATAATATTGTGTATTCAAATTTTTAAGTTTTACCTATTTGAGAGATGGTATTTCATTGTTATTTTAATTTGCATTCCTTTGATTAATCATGGATTGACCACTTTTTCATATATTTATTGGTCACTCTTCATATCATTTGCCCATTTCTTTAAGTGTGAATTTCTTTCTTTATTGGTAAACGCTCTTATATTAAGGGTATTGATTCTTTGCTATATATTTTGCAGATCATTTTTCTAGCTTATTGTTTATTGTTGTCTTTTGACATAGAGATATTTAATATTTCTAGAAAATAAAACCTATCAATTTATTCCTTTATGGTAACTGCCTTTGGAGTCTTGCTTAGGGTAGTACATGATTATATATATAAAGTTACTTTAGTTGCATAATATGATGGATGAGAACATTGACTCTAGAGACAGACTCAATGATTTGACTCCCAAGATTCTGCCACTTACTAACTGTGTAACCTTAGGCCACATACTTAACTCCATGTGCCACAAGCGGCTATAATATGGGGGTAAAAATAATATTTATCTTTAGGGTTTTTATGAGGATTGAAGCAGTTAGAATTGTGTCTGGAGCATAGTAAGCATAATATAAGTATTTGTTAATTAAAAATGTAAATATAGTGTTTTCTTTGAATTTTTGTTTTATTTTTTACATTTTAAACTTTATTTTGTTATTTGGTTTGAAGTAGATATCTAACTTAATTCTTTTTGAAATGATTAGCATGTCACAGCACTATAAAGTAATTCATCCTTTATCTCACTGGCTTGAATTGTCGTCTTTATCCAGTATTTAGCATTGTCCCATTGACCTGTCTGTTCTTTTGTTTTGACTAAGAAATAGATCTTTAGGTTTAGACTCTGACCTAGGTTGCTATCCTGGCTCTATGTAATGTATTTGAAAGTGTTTTATAAATGATAAAATGTGATATAAATGTTAGTTGTCATAATTTCTAAAATTAAATGTTCCACAATTAAGTTAACAATTCTTTTATTCTGAGAAACCAATATGAAGAAGAAAAAGTCTTAGAAAATATTAGAGTTGACATATCCCTTTAGTTCTTGCTAACCCTATTCATTATGGCTTAACTGTCAAAGAGCAAAGTAAAATGCAAAGCTGGATAATTACTGCAAAAGTCCCCACTTTTTCCTTAATAATTTAGGTCATATGGGAATCATTGTTGCTGGGACTATGTCTCAGTCTTACAGTTCTGAAATATTTGCAATTGGGTGTTATTAAATAAAAAAGTATGTATTTATGAATGTATATAAAGGAGACTTGGCATTCTGATCATGGCTTATTCATGAAGCGATTGCTCATATTGAAACCACTTAAGTAAATCTGGGATTCTCTTATTCTGAAACACACACACACACACATACACACACACCCAGGATTTTACAGAGGATATGTGAAGTAGTAAATTGAAAGCAATTCACTTTGTTTTTCCTTGAATCCTTTTGGAGCATCTTGGAAGACTGTCTTTTGTGTAAGTAGGTTCCTAAGAATTAGGAGAAGTAAATTAATTTTAAAATAAAACAGCAAAAGATGGAAACGATGGAAAATGATATGGGGATAGGGAAAACTTTGTAGCTGAAACAGGAGACTACAGATGATTACAAGAATACTAGAGGCCCGAAGCACGAAATTCGTGCAAGAGTAGGCCTTCACAGCCCCAGCTGCCTCGGCTCCGATGAGAGAAACATTGATCAGCTGCCTCCTGCACACTCCCTACTGGGTATGTGCCCGCAACCAAGGTACATGCCCTTGGCCGGAATCAAACCTGGGACCCTTGAATCCGCAGGCCGACGCTCTATCCACTGAGCCAAACCGGTTAGGGCTCTGTTTGTTTTTTTGGGTTTTTTGTTGTTGTTTTCTTTTTGGCTTAACAGAAATTTATTTTCTCACAATTCTGAGGCTAATGTTCAAGATCAAGGTTTTAACAAAGTTGGTTTTTCTGAGGTCTCTCTCCTTGGCTTGTAGATAGCCATCTTCTGCTTGTGTCTTCACATGGTCTTCACTCTGTGTGTTTGTGTCTTAATTTCCTCTTTTTACAAGGACACTAATCATATTGGATTAGTGTATAAACTAACAATCTTATTTTTACTTCATTAGCTTTTTTAAAATCTTTATTGTTGAAAGTATTACCTATGTCCCCGTTTTCCCCCATTGACCTCTCCCAGCCTGTCCCTTTTGTTTGAATAAATAAAAGGTGTTGGCTTTACCCTTGTTGAGAGATTGGTGATATGTCATCCTTTACATGAAACACGTGTCTTTTGTGTTGAGATTAGTCTTGGAGGAGTGTGAAACGGGATATTTATAACATACTTCAAGGGAAGAGGAGCATTTTATTATTAGTAACACTGGTTGTTTTGTCTTTTGAACAGATAACATGCCTGGACATTTCCAGTGGAGGAGGCCTTGGTGTGTCTTCTAGTGCTGATGGGAGCATGAAAATCTGGCAGGCTTCCAATGGAGAACTCAGAGTAAAGGCTTTGGATACACTTTCAGGGTCTTATACATGAAGGGTGGTCTTAGAAACTTTAGACTGGGTCATGGAAAGAAGAGTGTCTCTATCTTTGTTCCCTTTTTAAATTGAAAACCATCCTCAAGCTAGGTGATTTGCCAGAACAGATTGGGGCTGGGACAGTGGAGGTCTTTCTCTCTCTCTCTGTCTTTTCCCTTTTTAGTGTTTACGTGCTTCCTTCTGTTCTCTCTGTCTCTGAGTCTCTTTCCTTCCCTTTTTTCTTCTCTATTTTTTATATCTGTGGTCACTCTAGTGAATCCGTACCTTTTTAAAAATATATTTTTATTGATTTCAGAGAGGAAAGGGGAGAGAGAGAGATAGAAACATCAATGATGAGAGAGGATCATTGATTGGCTGCCTCCTGCACGTCCCCTAATGTGGGGGGATTGAGTCTGCAACCCAGGCTTGTGCCCTTGGCCGCAATCAAACCTGGGACCCTTTAGTGCCCAGGCTGATGCTCTATCCACTGAGCCAAACTGGTTAGGGCCCTCCTCAACTTCTTATATGTAGAGCTAGACTTAGGGTGGCTGTGAGAGCCATGGAGTTCAAATCCACATCTGTAGCCCAAGCCGGAAAAAGCCTAGCTCTTAGAACACTACCTGGAAGACAAATGAGCTAAAGAGATTATTTGGACCTCCTTCCTTTTAAAACCAGCATGCGAGTATAGCATGTACATATTTCATTTAAGGGACCGGGGATATGGGGGGTAAGAGAACATCAAGGGATGGACAAGAGAACTAGCCTGGAATTTTCTTTTGTTTTTCCAGAGAGTATTGGAAGGACATGTGTTTGATGTGAATTGTTGCAGGTTTTTCCCATCAGGCCTTGTGGTTCTGAGTGGGGGAATGGATGCCCAGCTGAAGATCTGGTCAGCTGAAGATGCTAGCTGTGTGGCAACCTTCAAAGGTCACAAAGGAGGTATGAAGGGTGATTGGAGAAAGTGGAGTGCTATTTGTCACGATCTCATTCTA